CATTTCTGAAGAAGGGTCCTGACCTGAAACGTCAACTTTCCTGCTCCTTTGATGCTGCCTGGCCTGCTGCGTTCCTCCAGCTCCACACTGTGTTACAGTCATGGGCTCTTATCTTATTTAACATTCTTCTGTGTACATTTTGGCAGAAGAGCAGGCTCAAGGAGCCAAATGGCCACTTCTGCTCCTAATTTGTATGTTCACACATATCTCTCTGTTTTCCCAGTGATGGAAAGTGAGAAGAGACAGGATTCCGGCTCCTGATTTCTATCCAGTGCCCTGTCCCACTGGATAGGCCTCCATGGCATTGCCTCCAATGTGTTAATAGTTGGCAAACAGTGGTCACCAATCTATCCCATGGTTCCATGGGCAAGAGACAGGATGGGTAACTGTACCATTGCCACCAACCAGGAGACAACAGAAGGAGACAGCAGCATCAGGAAAGGAGGAGCTGAGAATTGGTGACAAAGTTGTAGTGGTGAGGGGATGCTTAGGGATTCTACCTTCCCGCGCAATACTTGTCACATAGACATGCCGAGTAGAGTTCCCTTGCCTGAAAGAGTCCTGTTTTACTGAAGAAAGCGAACTGAGTCCTCGACACCAGGCTGAGCTCATCAGCTGTCAGACGCTCGAAAAGGCCAGGGGGCAACTCGATTCCTGCCAGGGCCTCACCATGTGGATCCCCGTCAAAATTAGGCTGCAGATGAGAACGGTAGAGACGTTAACGCTATTGCGACAACAGAGGGGGCCACAGCCTGTAACCACATCATTCACCCCCAACCCTTCTCCCCACCACATCAAGAGGGGATAGTCAAGAGAGGATAGGAACCGGGTCAAACTGGCCAGTTATGTTCTGACACCTCTTGAGCAGGGGAATCTTGAACCCGGGCCTTCTGGCTCAGAAGGAGGGATGCTACCACTGCACCTGAAATGTTGCTGTAAGATTATACTGATCATTACAGAGATGTTCCTGAAGCATACGTAGTCTGGTGATAGAGTCAGAGGGTCATACAGCAAGGAAACAAGCTCTTTGTTCCATCTCGTCCATGCTAACCAAGTTTCCCGAACTAAACTAGTCCCACTTACCTGTTGTTGTGAAGTTCGGTAGAGTATTTGTGGTTTTGGAGGCAGGTGTTTGTAAAATAGGTGGGAAAGTATTGCGTGGTCACTTTAAAAGAAGTTTTTTTTTTCTATGCTCTGAGATGTAAAATGGATGTCTGTGAGCAACAGCTTGAAAGTTTGCAAGTGCACAGAGAGCACCCAAATTGAAACATGTCTGTTGCAAGGCTGTACAGTTAGCAGGTCAAGCAATTGTTTAATTTTGTTACTAAGACAACAAGTTTTTGAATTTAGCCAATCAATTTGAACCAGGCACTTAGATACCAAAAACCAATTAAATTTAAATCTGATAGTTTTGACAACATAGGACCAATCCCTAGTATAAGAAATTGATAGGTCATTAAGGATATAAAAGAAGAGGACAGTTGGACAAAGACAGGAGAGCTAACTGCCACAAAAACAGAAGTTGCTGGAAAAGCTGAACAGGTCTGGCAGCATCTGTGAAGAAAAAGTCAGAGTTAACGTTTTGGGTTCAGTGACCCTTCCTCAGAACTGGAACTCAGCTCTCAGCTCGCAAGAGAGAATCACTGGCTCTCATAGTCTTCTCTAAGTCTTAGGGAAAACACCAACTAAATCAAAGGTACCCAATTAGTTAATAGTCCACACAGAAGAATCGATGGCGAAGGCATTCCTGACAGAAGGATCGACAGAGAAGGTACAGAACGTTCCGGAAGACACATAACCTGGCTATAATTCCAAGGGACTAAATTCTAATTTTATTTTGTTTTATATAAGTGGGATTTGTATTTATTGGAACAGTATACCATTTGAATCTTGTTTAATTTTCAATAGTAGTTAGAAGGTGTTTATTCGGTTTGTTAATAGTTTAGTTAATTTGTTCACTGTTAGAGTCAGATAAATAAATCGTTACTTGTTGAGGGCCAGGGGTTTATGTTATTCAACCACTAGAAGTAGCTGAAAGGCAGGTTACACCACCTTTCACACTCCTTTTACTGATTTTAGGGCATGGTGCTCCTCTTTAGGTGTTTTGGTTTTAGTTCTCAGAGGGTGGTCAACCTCCACTTCATAATACTATGTTTGACCTGTATCCCTCTAAACCTTTCCTATTATATACCTGTCCAAATATTTTTAAAATATTGTAACTGTACCTGCATCCACCACTTCCCTCTGGCAGTTCATTCCACATACCAATCACCCTCTGTGTCAAAAATTTGTCCCTTGGGTCCTTTTTATATCTTTCTCCTCTCATCTTAAAATTATGCCCACTAGTTTTGAACTCCCCTAGCCCAAGGAAAAGATCTTTATATTTCACCTTTTCTGTACCCCTCACAATTTTATAAACTTCTATGAGGTCACCCCTCAACCTCCTACGCTCCAGTGAAAAATGCTCCCAGCCGATCCAGCGTCTCCCTATGACTCAAACCCTCTAGCCCTGGTAACATCCTTGTAAATCTTTTCTGCATCCTCTCTCCAATTTGATAATATCCTTCCTATAGCAGGGCGACCAGAACTGTACAGGTATTTTAAAAGTGGCCTCACCAACGTCCTGTCCGAATATATTGATGTTGATACTCCAAATGTCAGGAAGAATAGTTTAATGACGGGATTTTAAATCTCACCTACAGAAGCTGGGGAGTTTAAACTCAACTAATCAAAGGCAAAAATAACATTATACTCAGCAATGGCTATCTTAAACTATCGGATGATTGTCAGCATCCATACAGTACCCTCATATCCTTTAGGTAAGGAAGTGTGCCATCCTTATCTGGTCTGGCCTACACGTGACTCCATGCCCACATAGCACAAGAATTAAGAGCAGGAATAGACCATTCCATCCCTCAAGTCAGCACCACGATTCATTAACACCATGGCTGATCTGTTTGTGGTCTTAATTCCCCTTTCCTGCCTATTTTCCCACCATTCCATAACTTTTGACTTATCCAACATTCTATCTAACTCAGCTCTGAATAGATTGATCAACCTAGTCCCCACAAGAAGGCTTCTCCACAGACTAATAATCCCCTGAGAGAAGAAATTCTTTAATCAAAGAATCCCTGCAGTGCAGAAACAGGCCATTCGGTATATCGAGTCTGCACCAACCCTCCAAACAGCATCCCAACCAGAACCAGCCTCCCACCCTCTCCCGATAACTCCATATTTACCAGGGCTAATCCACCTAACCTGCAAATCCCTGGATGCTATGGGGCAATTTAGCATGGCAATCCACCTAACCTGCATGTCTTTGGACTGTGGGAGGAAACCGGAGCATCCAGAGGAAACCCACACAGACACGAGGAGAATGTGCAAACTCCACACAGACAGTCGCCCGAGGCTGGAATCGAACCCAGGTCCCCGGCGCTGTGAGGCAGCAGTACTAACCACAGAGCCACCAACAATGAGACTGACACCTATCTTCCTCTCTGAAATGGCCTAACAATACTTTGCAACAAGGTGGCTCACCATCAATTTTCCAAGAGCAATTCCTAATGGGTGACAAACATTGGCTTCTACTGAATTAAAAATAAACGTTTGCGATGAGTGATGTCCTATTCTGGTCACACAGTGCCTTACCTCCAGCTCCGAGTCTCCATTCTGAGATGCCACACTGAAGGAAGTGCCGGTGTAATTTGTGGAGTTGACAGCGGAGATCCCTATGGCTACGTTTGGGGTGCTGATACTCACTGAAGGCCCACTGAAGATCATCTTGACAGTCAATGCATCTAGGGTCCTCAAAGCTCTATGCATAAAAGAAAACTAGTCAGACCACAGCTGGAATACTATGAACAGTTTTGGGCCCCTTATCTAAGAAAGCTATTTTGTCATTGAAGGCAGTCCAGAGAAGGTTCACTCAGCTAATAAGAGGTACGGAGGGACTCTCTTATGTGGACAGTTTCAGTAGGTTGGGCCTGTGCTCCTTGGAGTTTAGAAGAATGAGAGGTGAGCTTATTGAAACTTACAAGATTCTTCAGGGACTTGACAGGGTCAATGTGGAAAGGTTATTTCGCCGTGTGGGAGAGTCTAAGCCGAGAAGGTATCATCTCAGAGTAAAGGGTTGCCCATTTATGACAGAGATGAGGAGGGGTTTCTTCTCTCAGAGGGCAGCGAATCTGTGGAATTCATGACCGCAAAAGACTGTTGATGTTGGGTTGTTAAGTATAATCCAAGTCTGAGATAGGTAGATTTATAATCAGGAGCAGAATCAAGGGTTATGGGGAAAAGGCAGGAATGTGGAGGTGAGGATTTTCATATCATGATTTTTTTGAAGACAGGCTTGATGGGCTGAATGGCCTACTTCTGCTCCTACATATAAAACATAAGGCAAAAATGTGATGAGGTTTGTGATTAGGGTATAGACTCAGCTGGGTGGGTAGCGAGTTGCAGTCCCTATCTGGAGAATTGAGCATAAGGTGCAAGTGGGGATTCTTAGTGAGGTGCAGAGAGGCTGACGTTTCGGGCCTAGACCCTTCTTCAGAAAAGGGGGAGGGGAAGGGGGTTTTGAAATAAATAGGGAGAGAGTGGGAGGCGGATAGAAGATGGATAGAGGAGAGGATAGGTGGAGAGGAAACAAACAGGTCGAAGAGGCGGGGATGGAGCCAGTAAAGGTGAGTGTAGGTAGGGAGTTAGGAAGGGGATAGGTCCGTCCAGGGAGGACGGACAGGTCAAGGGGGCGGGATGAGGTTGGTCGGTAGGAGATGGAGGTGCGGCTTGAGGTGGGAGGAGGGGATAGGTGGGAGGAAGAACAGGTTATGGAGGCAGGGACGAGCTGGACTGGTTTTGGGATGCGGTAGGGGGAGGGGAGATTTTGAAACTTGTGAAATCCACATTGATACCATTGGGCTGCAGGGTTCCCAAGCGGAATATGAGTTGCTGTTCCTGCAACCTTCAGGTGGCATCGTTGTGGCACTGCAGGAGGCCCAGGATGGACATGTCGTCTGAGGAATGGGAGGGGGAGTTGAAATGGTTTGCGACTGGGAGGTGCAGTTGTTTATTGCGAACCGAGCGTAGGTGTTCTGCAAAGCGGTCCCCGAGTCTCCGCTTGGTTTCCCCGATGTAGAGGTAGCCACACTGGGTACAGCGGATGCAGTATACCACATTGGCAGATGTGCAGGTGAACATCTGCTTGATGTGGAAAGTCTTCTTGGGGCCTGGGATGGGGGTGAGGGAGAAGGTATGGGGGCAGGTGTAGCACTTCCTGCGGTTGCAGGGAAAAGTGCCGGGTGTGGTGGAGCTGGAGGGGAGTGTGGAGCGGACAAGGGTGTCACGGAGAGAGTTGTCCCTCCGGAAAGCAGATAAGGGTGGGGAGGGAAAGATGTCTTTGGTGGTGGGGTCGGATTGCAGATGGCGGAAGTGTCGGAGGATGATGCGTTGGATCCAGAGGTTGGTGGGGTGGTACGTGAGGACGAGGGGGACTTTTTTGTGCTGCTTGGCCTGCTGTGTTCATCCAGCCCTGCACCTTGTTGTCTCGGATTCTCCAGCATCTGCAGTTCCTACTAACTCTTAGTGAGGTATTGTGCCAATGCTGTACTGGCAGAGATGATGTCCTTCTGATAAGATGCCTACCCTCTCTGATGGGCCTCAAAAGATCCCACAGCATTATTTCAATAAATTAGAGGGCTTTGATCCCATTGCTGCCACATAAGATCTTGCTGTGCACAGGCTAACAGCAGCATTTCCCTGTTACATAAGTGCGTGTCAAACTCTGAACATATGTGTGTGTGTGTATCTGTGCTTGTGTCTGTGTGTTTGTATGTGTGTATCTGTGTGTGTGTGTCTGTCTGTTTTTGTGTATGTGTCTGTGTGTGTGTGTCTGCATGTGCATCTGTGTGTGCGTGTGTGTTTGTGTACATCTCTGTGTGTGTCTGTTTGTGTGCGAGTGTATGTGTGTGTGTCTGTCTATTTGTGTGTGCGCGCGCGTCTGTCTGTCTGTGTGTCTGCGTGTGTGTCTGTGTGAGTTTGTGTGTGTGTGTGTGAGTTTGTGTGTGTGCGCGCGTGCGCACGCATGTGCATGTGTGACTGTGCATGAGACTAAAGAGGACAAGAAAATTCTAACAATGGGAAGGAATTGGATAGGCCATGCTGGGGTTGGTCATATCTCCTGCAGCTCCTCAATCAGAAGAGGTGTGAGTACAAACACACAGATTATAGTTCCCACCGGGAGAGAGTACTCACACTTGGGAAGATGTGGCCAGTGCCTCGTCTGAGCTTGAAAGGATATTGGACAGAACCGTCAGCACTGTGGATGCCAAGGTGGAGTTGATGTCCGACACGATCACAATCTGATTCAGAGTCTCCACTAGCTTAACCACTTGATCCTGGGTGAGATTCCTATCCGCAGAGAAATCGAGGAGCTGACTGGCCACTTCTGCTGCATTGTCTGTAAGAGGTGACCGAGGAAAGAAGGGTTATAAAGGATTGTAGCTGAACAGCAGCAGAGGAAGGTACAGCACAGGATTCTGGAAGGTCTCTCAGAGACAGCGAGAACTACCGATGCTGGAGTCAGAAATAACACAGTGGAGGAACACAGCAGGCCGAATTTCTGAAGAAGGGTCCCGACCCGAAATGTCAGCTTTCCTGCTCCTCTGATGCTGCCTGGCCTGCTGTGTTCTTCCAGCTCCACACTGTGTTACTCTGGAAGTTCTGTTGGAAACACCTCTCAAATTCACCTAAACCACAGCAACAAGATGCACATTGAAATGTTTGCAAATCTATGCAGGGCTCATGTGAGCACTTCAACATGCTACATGTACGCAGACAGTTTTAATCGACCTGTTCAGGCACACCTCTGGTGCAGTTTGTATGTAGAAGGCATTGGCACCATATTCCCAGAGGGTCATTAAGGAGAGACAACTGGTAGTGTGTTTAACCTGAGAGTCATCACGTCTCAGGTGAGGGGAGAGGCTGAGAAGGAGAGTCCTTCACAGTAACCTTAACCAGGAATAGCAACTGAACCCATGCTGTTGGCATCACTGTGCATCACCAAATAGCCATCCAAGCTAACTAAGCCCCAGTTTGTACATACCTACCCTAGTGGAACAGTACGTATCACACAGTGAGTGCTTTCACGTGGTATTCTGATGTATCTAGAGACTGTGTCCAACATGGCTATAGGATCTTCATCAAGACGGTTAGTGAAGCAACCCATCCTTGACCACAATGCAAGCTGGTCGCTGGGGAATGGATATTGATGGGAGATTATTGCTGGACAATGGAGGGCCCAATGATATTGGATTTTCAGGAACTATTCTTGTTCAGGGGCGAGCGTGACTCTGGATCGCCTCCTGAGTGCTCTCCGACAAGTGTATGTTTACAATCCTAGGAATCCTCCGATGTCGTCCAAATGGGGGAGTGACGGGGGAGGAGGTAGTGATCTCGTGGTAATCCTACTGAAAGACCAGTCAAGATCAATCATGCTGTGCAGACATGGGATCAAATCCAATTCAAATCAATTTACGCTCCATTCACGAATCAGAGCTTTAGAGCTAATCTCAGTGATGGTGATTTGTGAGACTTTCACCAGTTATTGTAAACCATTGGTTCACTAACAGGCCTGAGAGAAGGGAAATCTGCAGTCCTTACCCAGTCTGGCCTACATGTGACTCCAGACCCACAGTAATATGGTTGACTTTTAACTGCCCTCACAAAGGGCTCAAGCAAAACAGGGGGTGGGGGGGTGGGTGGCTAACAACAATGGATACAGAATGCTAGTCAACTATCAGAGCTTCACAATATAGATTGATCCTACCCTTGATCGGATTGGTCAATAGTAATCAGCAGTAATAACTAATATTGTTCACTCCTCCCTAACCCAATTTTATATTCAAGTCTTACTATTGGGCCCACCACAGATCCACATGGGATCTTCCTGCCCTTTATCGCTGTCAACCAGAAACAGAACCCAATGATAATTACCTGCTGAAACAGATGGAATGTTTTCCAAGGTGCTGCTGTTTGTAACCAGCGAACAGTTTCTCAAGTCGGGTGGCTCCCAGAAAGATGTGTAGTCCTGCATGTTTAAAAGGCTGGACAGACCACACGGAAAATATTACTCCATGTACAGAAATCCCTAATAAAACTACCAATGGGTCTAAACAATAAATTGAACAAGTAGTTCAGAACTTGAGTATTGCTTAAAAATAGACAGTTTGTCAAAACTTTTCATCTTCTTCACAGGACAATTTGCAAGAATGCCAATTCATGGAGAAAGTCATTCATTCTGCATGAGAGGAGAGTCCTGATTGGTTGACAAGCACACTCTGATTAGTAGAGGTGTTGTTATAGAGTATGCACACATTAATGCTGATTGAAAGTTAACTGCCAGGATTTGTTCACATTTTAAACCAAATAGGTTGAATCTGATCAGTTAAAAAAGGCATTGTCTGGAGAATTGAACACACAAATGGTTGTCACTTATTATGTTAAGTTGAAACAGGCACAGCTATATAAATAAGGTGGCTAAAAGAGCAAGGCAGAGGCTGGGAATTCTGCAAGTAACTCATGTCCTAACTCCTCAAAGCCTGTCCACCATTGACCAGGCACAAGTCAGGAGTGTGTAGTGGAATACATTCCCCTGGCATGGATGAAACCAGCTCCAACCACACTAAACAGTTTTCCACCATCCAGGACAAAGTAGCCCGCTAGACTGGCCCTTCATCTGAGACCTTCAAAATTTATTCCCTCTATCTCTGATGCAGTGATAGTAGTACATACTGGCTACAAATTGCACTGTAGCAACTCATCGAGGCTCCTTCCACAGCACCTTCCAAACCTACAATTTCTACCATCAAGAAGGACAAAAGCAGCAGATGCATGGGAACACCACCACCTCATACATACCATCAACCACACGAACCTAAGCAACTTCTTCCAGAAATAAGAGGCTTGGGGACAAAAACCTGGAGACATTTCACTGAAAGGCTTTGCAATATATGGACTGAATGAATTGAGAGAGAAAAACAATCTGAACAAGCTTCTGGATTCTGTAAGATTGTTCAGGCTGGATGAACTAGAATGCCAGTTGTAGAAACGCAAAGCTGAGCTGAAGTCACGATCTTATTGAATGATGAAGCAGAAGCGAAGGGTCTATTCCAGTTCCGGTTTCTCATGTTAATATTTGTATATTTGACTATAATCATAGACAGTGCAGGGCAATCAACAAAGGTTCACAGCTCTTGCTTGACTCGGACCTTCCATCTTATCAGTTTGGGTTGAGTTAAAAGGATAATGTTGTAATACTCTACACTACACACACCCAGAATATTGCTTCTTTCTTTTTTTTAACCAGCTGTAATCTATACAAATAAAAAAGAATCTAATGGACCTTACCAGCTTCTGCTTGCATATTGTCCTTGATTTGAGAGACAGGGCAGATGTTGGGTAGTCCTTGGCCTGGTTGCTTTCCAAATATATTGAGCCGGTTCTTCTTCTGTTGAGCAGTTCACTGTGGATAAAGAACACCACAACTTAAAGTATCTGGCACCGAGGGACATTCATGTTTACCACCATGAAGACAAGGAATGCACAAGCAGTTATGTTTGTGAGAAAGGGATTTGTGAATCCATGTGCTTTGTTCATTAAAGGACCACAGGCTGAAACAGTATTCCAAAGAACTACTTCAATATTTATCTTAAGAGATCAGGATGCAAAGAGGAAAATGCACTTTTGTTACATTAAATATATAATCTTTTACGTATGCAACTCCCCTGGGAATGTGCTGCACTATTCGTCAAATACTCTCTCTGTGCAACAAACTGCACATTCTCACCACTCTCTCTGCACAGACATTTCTCTTAACTTGCCTATTGCATTAATTTACATCTTCTCTATGTCTATCCTGGAAAAGATCATAGAATAGAATAGAATTCCTACAGTGTGGAAACAGGTCATTCAGCCCACGTCCACACCACCCCTCTGAAGAGCATCCCACCCATTCGCCTAATTTCCCATATCTAACCCAAACATCCCCAGGCACTATGGACAATTTAGCACAGCCAATCCACCTAGCCTGCACATCTTTGGACTGTGGGAGGAAACCCACGCAGACACAGAGAGAAGGTGCAAACTCCACACAGACAGTCGCCCGAGGGTGGAATCAAACCCGGGTCCCTGGAGCTGTGAAGCAGTAGTGATAACCACTGAGCCACCGTGATGCTCTAAATATTCCTCCATTATCTTAAAGGCCTCAACTGGGTCATCCCTCACCTTCTCTATTCAAGAATAAAAGTCTACAACTCGGGTTGATCTTGGAGGCTACTCAGCCCATCATACCTCTGATGGCTGCTTACTCATTGCAGACAATAACCAGCTTATGCGACATTATCTCACGTTTTCACTTACCTACGGGTTGCACCTGAATGGAGTCTATGGAAAGGTTATTTCCGATGACTGAAGATGCGTTTCTCAGCCTTTCTTGCACTATCCTCTCCTCAAGGTAGATATTTTTGGTAATATTGTAATACAGGATTGCCAAGCACACATAGCTGAGGAGGAAATAACACATAATAAGAGGGAGTACACGACTTAAGATGTGATGAGAAAAGAGACATGGTGTTGAAGCTTGTCAAAATGCAGTCGTCAGGACATATGCAAAAATGCCAAATGTCAAAGAGAGCAACCATTGCTACTGCATGAGATACAGATGCTGATTGGTTGGCAAGTGGACTCTGACTGGTTGATGTTTTGCCATGGAGAATGAGCCAGGAAGCCACTATCCCACATGCTTCTGTTTAATTCAAGACAGGCACAAAGCCCGATATGTTTATTGTGTTTTCCTGAAGTCGACAGGTCTCTCTTTATGAATAAATGTAGCTTCTAGAGTTGACGTGTCAACCTATCAGCCCCTTTTTCTCATGTAGCATAAATAGTAGCTCCCTCTGAAATATGGCATTCTTGTATCTTCTTAATGAGTAAAAGACGAAAAGTGGAAACATCATGTTTCTCTTCTCCACAACATTAAAAAAAATGGAGATGCTTTATGAATTGCAATAGAATACATCTGAATGTCCTGAGGCACTACACCTGAATGGTTTAAGAGGGCAGTCAAGACTCAATTATGTGTGGACTGTAGGTCAGACTGGATATGCTTGACAGAATTTTGTTCCCCGACAGGACTTTAGATGCAAATGGGCTCTTAAGACGATCAGCACTGATTATATGGCTGTCACTAGAGTAATTTATGTTATTTTTTTGAATTCCTTTTTTTTAAAATCAGATGCAAATTTGACCATCTGCCATTGCAGGATTCATGTCCCCAAAACACTAGCCCGAGATCCTGGATTACAAGAGCAGTGACAAATGTCCCCATGGATTGAGATCACTTCTCAGATATCTACAGTGAGGAACAATGCATAACTAATTGATGTGCTTTTCATAGTTTTGTGCATTAAAAAGGTGGAGACATGGTTTTAATTTCATTCTTAGAGTGGTTCTTGTGATCTTGGTGCTGAGAAATCTGGAGACTTATTGATGCATGCATTTTTAATGAGGCTTTACAGTAAAACAAAACAGTCTAAAGATAAAAAGCAAAATATTGATTTTCTTACCTTGTGGTTTCGATTGATCTGGAAATGCGGTGAGGTGCAGTTTTGTTGTTTTGAAGAATCCTACCCAGTAAACAGAAAATAATTCTGATTTGTAAACATGAACTATTGAGTGGGATAGAAAGAAATAAAAGGCAAGTGGGTTTGTTACAGCAATTCATCAACTGAAGGGATCAAACGGTATGGGGGACAAAGTGGGAACAGGGGACTCAGTTGGATAATCAGCCATGATAACATTGAATGGCAGGACAAGCTCAAAGGGCTGAATGGCCTACTCCTGTTCCTATTTTCTATGTTCCTATGTTTAAATTATTAAATTTATGAAATGCAGAATCTCCATTGTGAGATTTGAATGGACTTATAAGAACAGAGGAGTTGTCAACTCCTCTTCCTATTTCTTTTGTTCTCTATGTTAACAGGAGGCATTAGTCTCAATCCTGTGTGATCCCATTCTGTTTGCAATGTTTCCAGCTCCTCACCTGACACTTTCCACGTATACAGAGTAATTCCAATTCTGCAAAGACTCAGTGAGCTGAAACATAAATGGAAAAACAGCAAGTCAGTACACAGCCTGATCCATTAACAAACTGCAGTGGCACAACCAGGTAAACATGCATTTTAGACTCATAGAATCAGAAAGGTCTACAGCACAGAAAGAGACTCTTCGGCCTGTCAAGTTTACACCAGTCAAAAACAACCAACTAACTATTCTAACCCATTTCCCAGCACTTGGCCCATAGCTTTGCATGCCTTGGCATCAGAAGTGTACATCTAAATATTTCTTCGATGTGATGAGGGTTTCTGTCTCTACCATCCTTACAGGCAGCGAGTTCCAGATTTCCACTACCCTCTGGGTGAAAACGTTTTTTTTCCTCACATCTCCTCTAAACCTCCTGCCCTTTACCTTAAATCTGTGCCCCGCTGGGTCATTGATTGTTCTTCCAAGGGGAAGTGTTCCTTCCTGCCTGCCCTGTCTATGCCCCTCATAATTTTATACATCTCCGTTTTAGAGTATCAATATAATTTGATACATTTTATGTCTTTTTCTCAATGCCACAAAGAAAAGCACATCAAAACTCTTAAGCCATCACATCTATTTGGACTCCTTATACAGGAAATGGTCCCATATTCTTACATAATTATCCATTGTTACATAGGATGGGGGTTAGGTGTTGTGAGGGGAAGACAGGTTAAGTAATGGATCAAAGAGAGAAAATAGCCAAGGAAGATTGTTCCTTATCCCTAACTCTCATACAGGTCTAGGTCACACCTGAACCCATGTAGTGATTATAATGAGGTCAGCCAGGTGGACCTCATAGAATATGAGCTCCCTGAATGGGGGTGTTAACCTGGTCCAGTTAGGGAGCCCTGGCTGACAGATATAAACAGTAGTGGCAGACATTCTGCTCACTCTGAGAGCTGACACTGAGGGAGCTGGATCAAGGACTCTCCGTGTGTAAGTAAAGGGCAACTTGGTTACAAGATACCAGTCCCTGTGGAGTTATTTCAAACCATGTAAATTCTTACTTTTCTAACCAGAGGACATTGTGATAAAGACAGACGGTAGTGTAGTGGGAATATTATTGGACTAATAATCCCAGCGCAATAGCCAATGCTTTGGGCACAAGTGGGTTCACATTTAAATTCAATGAATAAATCTGAATTTATATAGCCAGTCATGGTGACCATTAAAACTGAAAGAACTGAGGATGCTGTATATCAGGAACAAAAACAGAAGTTGCTGGAAAAGCTCAGCAGGTCTAGCAGCACCAGAGAAATCAGAGTTAATGTTTCAGGTCGAGTTCCTCAGAAGAGCTCCACAGATTTGGGCAGCATGGTGGCTCAGTGGTTAGCACTGCTGCCTCACAGTACCAGAGACCTGGGTTCGATTCCAGCCTTGGGTGACTATCTGTTGTCTGTGTGGGTTTCCTCCCACAGTCCACAGATGTGCAGGCTAGGTGGATTGGCCATGCTATAGTGCCCAGGGATGTTTAGGTTAGACATGGGGAAACTAGGGGAATGGGTCTAGGTGGGATGCTCTGAGGGGTGGTGTGGACTTCTTGGGCCAAATGGTCTGTTTCCACACTGTAGGGATTCTATGTTAACACGTCTGCTGAGCCTTTCAAGCAATTTCTGTTTTTTCTTGCTGTTGATGGTGACCATTAATGCCATGAAAACCAATTTGGTTCTCTAACACCCTTTTGAAGAAGGAAATCTGCCGTCCTCACCTAGTCTGGCCTACATGTAAGTCCAGACCCATGGCAATGTGATTGACTCTTAAGTATACTCTGAAATGGCCTAGACAGCCATTCTGTTTAAGGGTCATTAGGGATTGTCAACAAGTACTGGCCTTACTGTGATGCCCTCAAAATATTAATGAACAAAAATGTCCTTGTTATTGGCATCCAGAACTGGTCTAGCTCAACATGAGTCCCTCCTGATCTCTAACGCTTACCTACTCTCTGTCTTAACCAGCTGAGCAGGGATGGGAGTGGTGATAGTGGGAGGCCTTACTGAGGAAATTATTACTGAGGCACAAAGTGAGCACCGAGCTAGATTAGTTGCACAAGAACGGCCAACTGAGCGGACCTACCCAAGTTGATATTCTTTGCTCCAGATCTGCTGTGTCCATATCCCCATTCAGGTCGTGGACTGTAAACTGCGTCATGTATAAAAGTCCCCCTGTGCAGCGAGAACAGAGAAAAGTTATGGCTTGTCTTACCTCCCATACCCCTCCACCCTCAAAACGTGCAGCTTCCTGGGGTCAAGGCGGACATTCATTTAGAACCTGATAAGAACTAGTGGAAAGGGGAGATTTAACAGATTATTAAACCCCTCACAGTTTTTAACAATGAACACATTTCTAAAGAATCAGATGAGAATTTCTCTTTTCAAACGCGACAGGTTATTAGAATTTGGAATCGTCTGAAAAGGTGGGAGTAGAATCATCAGCAATCTCCAAAAAGGAAGTTGGGAAGAGAAATGAATGTAAGAATTTTGCAAAGCTGTACAGAAAGAATAGGGGAGTGAGATTAATTGGCTCATTCTTTCAAAGAACTGTCATGATGGGCTGAATGGCTCCTCAGTACCCTATGATTCAACCATTCATAAGGTAAGAGTAGGGTGTGTAAGGTAGGAGCCATTGGGACAGCTGGAGCTCAGGGTTAGATGCAGTGAACCCCACACTATGTTGAGGAAAAAATGCAAACTGTTCATTCTCAATCGATATAAGGGATGGATGACAACTTAAAATTAAATCTTATTTCTGACTCATTATCTGTGTTGGAATACAGTTATTAACACGCGAACAGATCTCTGATTCTCAAGTGTAGTTCTGTGAAGTACAAAATTCTGTCATTATAAGAGTGGTATACTAACTACAGACTGGGGGCTATCTAAGTGACAAATGTGCAGACTTCACAGAGCGCTCTGCATTGCTAGGCTCTCAGGTGGAAAGGGAGCAGAGAGGTAATCGCCCACCTTCACCAAGCTCCAAATGCCAGAGAAATTAAATAGCATGTATCGACGAGATCTCCTGTACACAAATACCCTGGCTCCCTGCCAGCACTGAGAAACAAGTGAGTGCCAGACAAGAACTGTGATAGAAGGGGGTCCATCTGCACAGTCCTCACTAGATGGCGCCTTTCACATGGCTAATGGGAAATGGTGTTGGTTACAATTCGAGGTGAATGATAAATATTCTGGATTGTGATTGTGTGCCAGAGATTGCAGCAGGGGTGGAGGTGGGGCACAAATAAAGCCACTTGACAGTAAAAATGAAGCAGGTGGAATTAACCCTCTGAGAATACAGCAAATCAAATGCCACAGTTCACCTACAGCACAATTTCTCTAACACTACACCTTGTTCTAACTGTGCCTTGGACATGAGGCTAACATTTATATGGGGTCTTCTTTGGGCGGGGGAGGGTTTGGGCCTTTATCCCTCTGCCCGTGTGCCAAACATGCCACAGCTGGGCGTAAAACCACTCCCAATCTATTTCTCCTCAGTGGGTCAACACTAAATGTCACACAATTAGGTCGTTGACAAGCCCGACATTTCGCTAATTAGTCGTTCCTAAAATGACAGCGGGCGTCCGATTGCAGTACTCATTTGTCCTCTGTACTTTCGAAAGCAGGGGTGGCAGCCCCATTTTATCTCTGTGCAGAGACAGGGAGATGGCTCGTGGTTAGCAGCTATAAAATCCAGCTGCACTGCTCTGCAATCACTCCAATTACTTCATGAAAATTGATGCAGCGTTTGATTGGAGGAAAAACACATTCAATGGACTCAAAGGGTTAACATACAAAGTGCCAGACTAAGTGAGCATCAACCCCAGGGTTGAAATTCTGGCTTTTGCAAACCAGACTTGACCAAAACTTGAGAATGTCGACCATTTCGGTTGTTCTTCACTCTGGATATTCACTCAGTAAACACCACACTTGTGTCTCAGTCCAGAGCACGGCGGAACAATCCCTAGCTACAGTCAAGCAAAAGCTGACGCTGCTCTTCATCCCCTTCATGTGGAGCCTGTTACACACTGCCAGATTTATAACTACAACAGTCACAGTTACAGTCATTTCTTGAAGTTGCTCCTTCCATGAGAAATGAACATTTCTGCTGGAGCCAGCAAACACTCAACCAAACTCTAGGAATGTGTTGCTCATCACAGAGAGAACCAGTTTGTTATTCATCGAAAGAGGAATTTCAATTTGTGCTCTGGAAATTGCAAGAGCAAGAATGTATTGAAAAATAAATGGTATCAGAATTATTTGTTTTTGTGGCAGAGAGTAATGTCGTTTTTCACATGTCTGAAGGGGAGTGAACGTATGCTTATATTCAGCTAATTGGGTTTGGCTGTGGATAAATTTTCAATGAGTAAGTGATTTAATTATTGCTGCTAATGCTACTCAGTAAGCTTTGTAAAGGGAAGATGTTCTACAACCGTTAAGCTTCACTGTGATCAGCCATCTCCTCACATCATACTATCATCTAGAGGTCTACAGATTCTACAGATACGACCCAGCATCTATGCAGGTGAGGGAACTAACAGCAGTGCTTTTCCACGGTACACTCCGCTACAGGTTTCTACAGGTGCAGCTAAAACATATGGTTGAGGACCACCGGTCCACATAAGCGGCCCGTCCCGTCAGCCTCTTCACCGATTCGGCACTCGGAAGCTTGGTCAGGTGCGGGGGATAGCTGCCTGCTCTCCGAGCTGAAGGAGAGAGCTTCACCACGTCCATAAACCTCGTGGGAGGGATCTGGAGTGGATGTTACTGCGACGGATGAAAAAGCAGCTGTAAGGTGTGAGAACCTTGTTGTGGAGGCTGGAGACAGCTGTGGCTCAGGGAGGGTGTTCATCCATGTGTTGATGGCAAGGCTCCAGATCGATGGAGAAAGATGTACACTAATTGAGTAATCCAGAGAAGAGTCCTTTGGTAATGTTGGCACCAGTGTTAGGTTTTGATTTCCACTACTTAACTGAGGAGGACCTACAAATGCTGAGGTAAACCCTGCTGATTCCTTCTCTTAAAGCACCTGAAATACTGAATGGGAAAGAGTGCAAACTCTGATTATAAATGCTTGGCTCCCCACCAAAAAGCTCATGATACTGCAATGTTCTTGCATGTATCTGACTTTTTAAAGTTATGCTTAAAACTAGAGTTGGGAAGTCTTGTGGGGGTTGTATAAAGCCACTGACCAGTGTCTGTTTGAGTTCTGCCCCTGTAAAAATGTAGTTTGGTTCCACAAGTTGGGAAGTTCTTGTTAGGAATGGGGAACGTGTACTGAGCAAAGTCTTCTGTGGTCCCAAATGAACAGGCATCGTCGTCACTGCCTGGACATCTTTCAACATTCCCAATACGGAATCTGAAATTGGTTCCCACTTCAATCCAAGACTCTGAGAATGGGAATGCACTTTCTCTGTTTTATCTGGAGTGAAACACAACGATGGGTGCCAGGCAGTTGCATTACTTGCAGATTCCTCGACCAACTGATGTGCAAATTGCACCTACATTTCCTTCTTTGGAGTGGGGGGCTCACAAATTTCTCTTGTGCGTGAGAGCCAAAAGTCATGGTTGAAATTCCAATGGCATCAGAAACAATTCCCCAGTGACTCTCGAATCCTTCCGGAAATGTCAGGAAACCAGGAAAATATGTTCCATTGTAGATGTGTGAGATGAATTTGGTTTTAACGGTAGTGTTTGTTCCAACTCAGAAAGATCGTCGAGATGATGGGAATTTGAGTTTTCACTTCTTACAAATGCAGATGCATCTAAAGACATGGGCAGGAACATGTCTGTCACCACTGAGGTCCAGTCCAAGGGAACATTTTTCATTGAGTTGTCCAAAGAAGACTTAAGGTCATCAGTTCCTGATGTGAAACCATTCCTCAGGCTAAGAGTCTCTTAGGGTTAAGTTGGCCGAGTTGCGCAAAGGTGCAAGTGAATCCTCTTCATTTCTAGCTAATGTTCTAATATCATCTGGTATCAATGTCTGCTGTTTGTTTTCCATCACCGGAGGTGCGTACTGATGTTTTTGTGTTGTATGCAGTGTGATATCAGTGAGTGTGATCAGGTTATGGTCATTGTCAATGACAGGCAAAAAGTCAAGGCTTACTTCTCCTGTTGACAATCTCCATCAAGAATCTGTACTCAATGAAGCCTCTTTTGAGGGAACAAGGTGCAGGGCTGGATGAACACAGCAGGCCAAGCAGCATCATAGGAGCAGATCCTATGATGCTACTTGGCCTGCTGTGTTCATCCAGCCCTGCACCTTGTT